TGATGTTGTGTTTGGGGCATCGACTTGAATTGATGTTTTATCAGCTTGGCTAGGAGGGTCTTCCCCTACTGTACAAAACAACTCTTGGTAGCCATCTTTGTGTTTGGCCTCAATAAACCCCCTAACTTCCTCTTCATTAACAATCTCCCTTTCCCTAGTCATCCAACTCATTCCCTTCTTCTTGTACCATATGTTAAATGTGTAGAGAACATCCCACTTTAAGCACATAAAAATCTTAAGTACTCTACTGTTATATATGACAGTGGTACTCCCATTCTCCAATACACAAAGCGAGCCTCATAAACTTGGCACCGACTCTCCCTTCTGTTCATAAACACAAAACCACCAAACAATCTTAGCTTAACATCAACATTATCATCACCTTCATCCATTTCTTAAATCTACAATGAATATAAAATACACAAATCAACCAATTAACCTACGCTAATAAGCATGTAACACAATCAAAGCAATTTCAAAAACCCAATCCCAGACCCTACCACTTGACTAATCTGAGTGCAGCTGGACAAAACAACAATTAATTAACAACACACAACCCTACCACATACTTTGTATAACTGTAGGGAATTTTTCAAACTCAACCTTTTGAGCCCCATTGTGTTCATGCTTTTAGGCATGGCGGAGCTCCAAGGGAAGGAAGCTAGAGATAAAAGAGTCACCAACAAGTTTTAGGAACTTGTAAACCGTTCATGGGTGCGAAGGTTACACCCCATTCACGATCACAAAGATCGCTAACTCCATAGTGGTCCGGAACCATGACTGGATGTTCGGGGATGATGGTACAAATCCAACCTAAAAAAGATTGAACTCGCCCTAAATAGGCCTCTACCCAATTCTTATGATATTCATGTGTGCTTTTCGATCAACATATATACATCAAGTTAATCCTAAACCTGTTTAATCTAAGTTGGTTGATTATTAATGCAGAATCAAATCAATTATTGGTGATCACTTGAATTAAAATCATATTAGCCTAAAATCAAATTATTATAAATTATCTTATTAAGCGTGATTTCAAGTACAAATTCCCTTTAAACCTGCAAAAAGGGCGTGATCAAGCAATAACAATCAATTATGAATAATCAAGCAACATATAATTAATTGACACAACAATCATCATCATAATCAAAATCATCAAAACATCAGTAGTAAGATCCTAGGCATGATACTAAACGCATTAATAACAAATCCTAACATGTCACTAATAATAATCATAATCAAAGCATTATCCTAAATATGATACTAGAAATTAAAATAACATCCTAACATGATACTGGGAATTAAATAACATCCTAACATGATAATAGGAATTAAAATAATATCCTAACATGATATTAGGAATTAAAATAACATCCTAACATGATACTAGGAATTAAAATAATATTAAGGGTAATTGAATTACTCACGTTGATGTTCCTCCCTTCTTGCTATTAAAACAATAAACACGTTAGTAACTTCAAGAAAGATTAATTCAACAAAGTAAATAAATCAAATAATAATTGAAATATAGATTTGGGACCAAACCCTCAGAACTATCAACCTTTCACGTCGAGGTCGAAGGCAACGTCGAGGAGCGCAAGGAGTATTCAAATTTTGCAAAGGAAGTATTGTGTTTGATTGAGGAGAGTATCAAGGATGTGTTTAAGCTAGGCTAAGAATATGAGAAATCGAGATAGAGAAAAAGAATATTAAAGAGGGGTATTGATGATGATTGTTGGTGATTGAAAACGAGGTGATACGACCTCTATTTATAGGGAAAAAAGAGAGTTGAAGCATCAGAAAAGAGTCATAATTCAAATCGGACTAAAACAAGTCTCATCGCGGTGCGATGGAACTATCGTGGCACGATGGTTCTGTCGCTCTACGATGATTTTGAAAAGATAGAATTTGTGCGAAATCCGATTTCCAATTGGATTGGGTCAATCAAATTTCCGTACGTACTCTATTTTGACCAGGATTAGGATCATCAAAAAAGAGATGTTTTATTCGATATCAAATTCTCAGATCTTTATCTTTAGAAAAACAGGATAGATTAGAACCTTCTAGAGAATTTTAGAATCTTATAACAAATCCTAATGGATTTAGGATGAAAACAACCTTCTAGAGGTCTCTAGAGCTTGTAATAAATCCTAATTAGTTTAGGAATGAGATTAAGGTAATTGGACCCTCCACATGATCATTGGACCGCAGGTAAGGCTTGGTTCGGGCTCGGATTAGTATTTTGGCCATAATTCCTTTGTTATAAGTCGGATTTGGACTTATAATATATCGTTGGAAAGCTCTTTTCAAAGCCCATCCATCTAAACAATAGTTGGACCAGAAATATGGACTAAAATAGACTGTTTTGGACGTTTTTATGAATTTGACATGAAATGAATGATTTTAGGGGACACGAAACGAATGATTTTGGTTTAAAACACTTAAGGAAAGGTTAGAAATGGTTATGGCTTGAAGGAAATTCACGAGACTTTTCAACCCTTCACCTAACTCGATAATCAAAGACGTTAAAGGTACTCATCACTGGGTTTGGTATTTGGGGAGACACAATCAGGTGTCTACAATAATATCCATCAGTTATTAATTAATTTTGTAAATATGCGTAAATTAAACCAAACACGGTAACCTAGGGTTTACTTCATTTTCTCCAAAAATACCCAAACTTGGCTATACAATAGCAAAAATATCAACATTTTAGGACCATTACAAATAGTTCAAGGAATCGTACCTTGTTGTTGTCAAAAGAATCTCCTACTTTTAACAATGGAGATGACGACTTAAAGCTCCTGGATTTTACTCTGCTGCTGCGTTGTTCCAATCAAAAGCTTCCACGCTCAAGTCAATTGCAGAAAAGTTGAGTGAAAAAAGAAAGATTAAGAGAGAGAAAAATTATGGTTCAAATTCAACAATGGAGTAAATGAATATGGTTGGGAGAATTGATAATGGAGGAAGAATGGAGTCAATGAGTTGAAATCGTGGAGAGAGAAGAGGTAAAAGGTGGGTAGTTAAGTGTATGGGACCTACTAACGGAAACAGTAATAGAAGTTGGACGGAGGTACCAAAACCTATATTTTTTAGATTTGATAGGTAGTAAAATAAAATAAAATTTTAGATGGGTACCAAAAGTCAGCAGAGACCATTTTCGAGGTACCAAAAGTCAAAATTTCCTCATCCTTATTTTTGTTTCCAAATCGCTTTAATATTTAAATACATGCTTCAAACTTTTCAAATCAATTTAAAAAAAAAATGGAAACCACTCATCAGATCAACCAACTCCTCCCTTATTAATGTTAGTCTTTTCTTATATTCAGCCATGTTTCATGCTTCAACCCTATCCATTCCCTATTCCACTTGTAGTCTCAAAAATTTCACGATCTCGATCAATTTCTTACTTTCCCTCTTGTTATATATTTTGTTCGTGGTCGCCCTATAAATCAAGTGACAGGGCGAACAAGGGAAGCTTCATAATATGGTCATATCATATTTGCTGGTTGGAATGCCTGGTCGGGCAAAGTCGCCCAGTGAGACCGGGTAGACAGGGTTATTCAATTCTCCGGGGGGGGTTCTCTTTCTCTACATGACAACTATTTGAATCATCGCCTCTCCTCTCCTCTTCTCTCCTCCTCTCTTCTAGGGTTTCTCCAAAATCTTGGCCGTTTAGGCCGGAAATAGTCTAATTTCTTTGGAAATTAATCTATTTCCGACCTTTTTCCCTTGATTTTCTTTAGTTTTGTAATTTAGGTTTCAATAAATCTACACGAGTAGTGTAGATATTCGTTTGTCTCCCTATGGTGGAGTGTCTCCCTATGTTGAGTCGTTAGTTTTTGTTAGTTTAGTTGTTTGTTTATGTTTAGGGTTTGTTTGTGTGTTAGGGTTTATCAAAAAGGTAATCATCTTTTGCCCTATTGTCAGTTCGTTGGTAAAGATTTGTTCGGGATCGCAGGTTGTCAAGTTTTCAAATGCGTTCAAGTGAATCAGATGAAAATCTTCCTTAAAGCTACAACAAATCGTTAAACCGTCTCTCCAAAAAGGTTATATATTCCAGCGATGTGTGCGAGAGATGTACCATAGTGCAAGATATTTTCAACGATTGTAGCTTTGATGAAGGAAACCCTAATTTGATTCAATTTTATGTATTTGTTAATTTAGATTTCATATATATATATATATATATATATATATATATATATATATATATATATATATATATATATATATATATATATATATATATATATATATATATATGTATTTAAGATACGCCTGGGGCCTACTCTATGGTTTTATTTGGGTATTCTTGTGTTATAAAAGGACCATTAGGTGATCAATTAGAGATCACACCTTTTGACACCTTTTTGAGCCATTAGGATTTAGGGCTACTTGTATATTCTCTCGTTCTTTCTCCATTATAATGAAAAAGCTCTCGAATCCCCCTCCCGTGGTAGTAGGTCTAATTTTATCAAACCACATAAATCTTTATGTTCCTTATTTATTTTCATCATTGTTTTTCTCGTTGAGGCAAACTAAACACAACTTTAATCTATAATGATTAGTAACTTAACGAGGCGAACTATACATAGCCTTAATCTTCTATGGCCAATAACTTTTTTTTGGTTTGGCCGTTTGGGGTGATGGAACAGCATACGAACTACATTAGTCTATAGTCTTTAGTCCTTATAACCTTTAAGTAAGCAATTAGTATATGGATCATATTCATAGCATCTTTGATAACAATGATTGAAAATCAAATCAACTCAACAAATTACAAACTGAAATGCGCGTGTAATAAAAAGGGGCGTGATATTAGGATTATGCTTAGACCAACACGTGGTAGGACCTAAAGCTTACCTTTTTATTTATTTTTTTTATTAACTTAAAATCCTAAATTCCTCAGATACTATATAAATCAGTTTTTTTAGTGGGGTCCACTTTTCTTTTTCTTTTTTTTAGAAGTTTGCAAATTAACCCACTCGCGCCTAACTCCCTCACTCTCTCTCTATCTTTCTCTCTCCTCCTCATCAAACAAACTGCAACTCCCCTTTAACTTTCTCTCTCCTTTTTTTTTTCTCTCTCTTTTTCGTGCTCAGCTGAAGTTCATCGTCAAATGTTGGGCGGAGGATAATCATTTTTTTTTGCCCTAAGTTTAACTGGTAATCTTGGTACTAATTTTGTGTGTTTTTTGTTTGATTTTTATTTAGTCGATGATTTTTAGGTTTTTTTTTTATCCGATGATGATTTTTGAATTTTTTTTTTATTGTGAAATTAGGGTTTTGCTGGTTTGTTTGTGGTTTTTGTTTTGTTTTATTGGGAGATGAACAACGAACGGCCGCCTGAGCCTTTAGATTTCTTCATCTGGACTGTTGAGGTATTGATTTCTGTGTTCAATTTCGCCAAATTTGGAGTTGGATCTTGATTTATATTTTTGTGTAATTTTTACTGTTCATAAAATTTCTCATGTTAATTCTTTATTTTATTGTGTATTTTGTTGCTAATTTCATTGCTTCATGAATCATGAGTACTACTTTGGACTCTGGCAAAATGTGACATGAAGTGTTGATTATGTTATATTTGATCATTTGGCTGATTTGCCTTTCTAAAGTAAAGATAATTCGAAGTTTTCCGAAGGAATTGGATGAAGAGTGCTATGAACTGTTCAGTAGTTGTTAGAATTTAGATTATGGAACATCTGGGTTGAGAATTGTATTATTGGTTAAGGGAGGCAATTGTTAAGCTTCAGTATGATCCGAGAAGGGAAATGAGGAACGTTAGTTGGCGCTTTCATGATTATGGCTCCATTAGGTGGAATGGAAGACTTGTTCAAAAATGAGAAGGGTTAAGTCATCCTTCCTAATGATGAAAACTAGCGGCAGTTCTTTGTCCTAGTAAATTACTTCTATTAGCTTTATTTCCTTCTGAGTATGGTCTATTCAGCTTGGACTTTTGGAGTAAAGGATATTACATTTGCAACTTGGAAGTCTCTTTCTGATTGGAGATGATCATTGGTTAGATAATGTCTATGTGCTATCATAGTTGCTGCTTTAATTCTTTGAATATTATTAGAGGTTTTTTTGGCTCTTCAAACTGGTGGTGTACTAGGCATATGTTGGATTGACTTTCCCAAGTTCAAATTTAGTTCAATTCTAGATCTTTCACCTCCCGAAATCATTTGGTAGACCTCCACTTGCTTGAATTTTTGCCAAGAGCATCGATGACTAACTCCAGAGCATGGAGCCATGGACACCCGTTAACTATTTACCAACCATCTTGCCTCTCCTTCCTTTGCTCAATTCGCCTTAGACTTTTAGGTCAATTTCATACATTTCCTTGTTTTTTAGCAACACGCTTCTGATTTCTTAGTTCTTTAAAGAGATTGTAGACCTGGAAACTTAATAACTGAATATGACTCATGACACACTTGCCCCACCTTTTTTATAAAAGAAAATCATTTCTTAACTTTTGGTGATTGTTGTGGATTTTGAGTGTCTGGTAAATCTACTGCATCAGAAATTGAGCTATCGGTTTTATCTCCTTCCATTATGGCTTTTGTTGTCATTAGTTTTTGTGGATGGGTTCACCCAGATAATCTTTTGGTAATATTTACTACTTTTTGTATGGGGTTTCACTCCGTGTTTGATTTCAGCTTTGCTAGGCATTGGTCTCATTGTATGTAATGTTATTACTTTTTGGGAAAAAAGGCTTATGTTTCTTTGACTAAATCATTGCACCATTTTACAAAAGCAGTATTATTTGTGTAGTCAATAGCATTTATGATTCTCATCATTGAACCGAAATTCTGATAATATTCACTATATTCATAAAACCTGTAAAAATGACATGTCCTGGTAACACCTGGTCAAAGTTTTGATTTTGGTTTGGCTTGATCCATTATCATTTGTTAAGCTGTGCTTTGTCTTTGTTCTTCATTGGAGTGTCATTGGTTTGATCACTTTAAGGATTTTTTGTGGCATGGTTTGATATTTGTGCTAATTCTTTATCGTTTTAATGCATGATTTCCTCTCCTTTGTTTGATTTTCTTGGAGTGTTCTCTTTTATTACGCACTGCTCTTTCACAGAGCTTCAATTGATAAGCTTTAGGAAATGCAAGGAATAAAGATAGTTTGAAGTATTTTGATGATTTACTGAGTTTGTTTCTAATGCTTACTCCCAATGTGCTGAATTTTGATGATGATTTCAACTGTGCACACCAAGTTGCTCTCAATATATATTTTTCTTTTTACTGGAGAGTATCTCAGTACTTCTTATACAGCTTATGTTTTCCTTTGCAGGATGTTGGTATGTGGTTGGAAGAAATAAATCTTGGTAGCTACCGCCAAATTTTCAAGGAAAATGGTGTTAATGGCGAGTACTTGGAGAGTATGTCCATGTTTACAACAGAACAAATACTTAGGTTTATTAGGCGCTGCCATATGAAATGGGGGGACTTCATCACACTTTGCAAGGAATTGAGGCGAATAAAAGGTTCAAACATCTTTTATCTTCCGTTTTTGTAAAGCACCTATTTTATTTCAGAGTGGGTAGGGGGGAGAGAGAGAGAGAGAGAGAGAGAGAGAGAGAGAGAAGCAACACAAAATGGTAACAATATCTTGCTTTTATGCATCAGAAGTCTGAAAACCAATCATGCGTTGGCTTCATGGTTTGAGGCAAAGAAGGCAAAAAAAAAAAGCATTTGCTAGTTGCCTGAGTAATTGAGGACAGCTCATCATAATTATAAAGTGGATATCTTTTAACTCTAGTTAAGTAAAGAATGCCTTCTCAGATATTCATAGTTTCCGTCAAAAAAAGGTCTCAACTTTTTAGAACTTTCTTTAAATTTTGACTAGCAGAAAACTGTAATGACAGTTTTCGTCATACTTGTCATCAAGTATAAATTATGATTATTTTTGCTTTACTCGATTTTTATCAGGTGCATGTTTTTCAAACCACATCATTAGATGTCTTGCACTTGCAAATTTAGGGTCAGTTGAATAATTACATCAGAAGATGTTTTGCACCTCTGCTTTGTCTTGGGGTTTTGGTACTGATGTTGAGAAGTAACTGTAGATCCATATGTGAGGAACAACATTAGTTGCTTTCTTCAGTTTGATTTAAAAGCATGTGAATCTAGATTATCATGTATGCTGTGAATTAGAGCACGTTTTTGGAACATTTCATGATTTAAATGCTGAAGCTCTATAATTATTACAAGAATACAAAATTCTTTTTAATATTAACTTAATATAGGATAACTAATTCATTATCAATGCTTTAAGTACAGGTTTATGTGCTGACTGCATGACGTTTTATATATTGTTCAGTGGCTTGCTTGAAAGGGGAGCAAAAGGTTCGTCGGCCATGGTGGGCCCCTTCCTGCTTGTCTGTAGTCTTTGTCAAGGCGGCTAAACGCAACAGACAGTCGCGTGTTGTATCACTAAAGCTCGAACCATGATAGTAGATGGTACATCTTGTACGTATATTTTACACATTTTGCTTAGTGAAAAAAGGATGAAGAACAAGGAAAATATCACCTTGATGTCTTCAAGTTGAGCATAGTGTTGCATCAGTTCTTCTTTGGGAATCACTTTCAAGGAAGTTCTCTATAAATGTTGGTGATTTGTAGATGTATCATTTGTATGTAACTAAAGAAGTATGATAATGGTTGCGAGGCTTCTCGATAAATCAAATGTAAACTCTCTGACGGAAGAAACCCATACTAGTTGGCCATACTATGGTGATTGTATTCCTTGCACTTGTGCCTTGGTCTATTGTTTTTTCTTTTGGTTCTATTTTTTGGATAAGATTGCATCTAGTTTCGTTGTCACATACCTAGGTGCATACTGCATAGCTTGAACCATGAGTCCATGCACCAAAGAATAAATTTAAGTACAAACTAATCATAAATCAAAATGACTGGTTATAGGTGTTAAAATAGCAATAAGTCGGCAAAGTGTTGTCTATTTGTACCTAATATATGTATGAGCAGTTGTCTTTTGTTTAGAAAAGTGAAGTTGTGATCGTGCTTTTGAAGCTTGCTGATACTCATGGTACTTTTGATTTGGTGTGTTGCTATGGAGGACTGATGATAGACTAATGCTTGCTGATATTCATGGTACTTTTGATTTGGTGTGTTACTATGGAGGACTGATGATAGACTAATACTCCCTAAGTTTTATATGCACCGTGCAGTGTTTAATGTCTGTGGTACAACACTAACTGTGAACTCAGACAAAACAAATCGCAAATCCTCATGATCAGGAAACCAGTTGGTTGATTCTGCAGTGTTGGACACCGTCAGCTGCACGAGCAAGTAACCACAATCGAAGATGCTCCAGTGCTTGATCTGGTGGTTGAGGTCTCTTCGTCCAAGTTTTTGGAAAGTCAATGTATTCACATGTCTAACTGGGATGCACCAGCTTGAAGATGACATTGTTACAATTGATTACTCTCTAACGCAATTGATGCGTTCATTTTTCCGACTCGTTAACACACGGGAAGTGATATTGACCTATCATAGTTTTCCTACTGTGTAGATGTATGCTGACTTAACTTATGTAGCCTGTTTATCTACCTCACATTCTACGCCCTAGAAACACCGCAATTTTTCTTCGTTCTTCAGGATTTTTAAGCTTCAACCATCTCAAAACACTAAGGCACATGAACTAGATTGGCTTTTTATATACTTCGTGTATCATACACTCCTACACATTTCACCTTCTTTCAAGTTTAGGGTGAAATATGACACAATAGCACAACCTAATGTTCAAAAGTACATGTTAAAACTCTTAATCAAACTCGCCTATCAACTGGTAGATAATTCTGCTCAAATATTACAATATTTGGTTAAAAATCAAACGTTCAACAACCAAGCAAGCACGCTCAGATTCCTCACAAACTATTCAAATACTTCGTCGTATCATACAGACAAACATTGTAAACAATTTTTAAGAGTGGAAAGAGCTACAATCACATAAAGCATATTATGACGTCAAAAACAGTAAATCAATGATTTTAGCTAGCCGCCAATTAACCACTTTGCTCAGCAGCTAACCATACAGATTACAGACACTAGTGGCTCAGTTGACTAGAATTTTCATTTTCAAGTCTCAAAGTTAAAAGCTGTTTTACAAGAACACACACTAAGGAATCCGATTGAAGACATCAATCAGCATGCAATATTGGGACTTTTTTCCTTCAATATTTCCATATCAAGAGCAGACATAATTAAACTATGTACTGAATTATAAGGCCATTCAGGTTCTTTTGTTTCAGGACGCCCAACTTGTTAAGAAGGGGTGTCCTAAACAAGTAGGTTCAACTAGAAATAGGTCCCTTCTGGAGGTTGAACAAGTTTCCGATTGTGGGGTGCAGCCATTTCTTTCCTCAGCTGAGTCAGAATGTCCTCCATAGTGTACTCTCTCTGCCAATTAACCAGCATTCCAAACTTCTTTGGTTCAACCTGCCACCCACAACATTACACATAAATGAATCCCCACAACTACAGGGCACAGGATAAATAATGGAGAAAATAACGAAATGTTATGGAGTAACAGAAATGACTCCATCTCATATTAACAGAAAGTCAGCCATCTACATGACAGATCATATGCATACATACTTTGGTTGAATGTACATACTTCTGATTTTTAAGAGGAGAACAACAAAAACTTCATATTGTTATGCTTATGCTTCTATAGCCTAAATATATTGGTTTCACAGTTTCACAAGGTGTCATAGGCTTGCAAAGACTACAGGTCCAATTATCTAAAACTAACGTTGAAGATTTATACCTTGATCTAATGAATAACATAAAACAAGCAATATGATAAAAGGCTTGGCTTGAGCAATTCGTTTCACCAAAGACCCAAGTCAGGTACATAAGGTACATGATATAAAAGGCAAAAGGTGGGAAATTAAGACATTTCCATTATTATTATAGAGATCGTATTGAGTGGTGATTAGGGGGGGGGGGGGGGGGAATTGGTGGTTGAGGAGGGTGTGTGAACACATGGAGATAGAGTCACATTATAATATGATTCCCAAGGTACAGACAATCAAACCAAAATTACAAGAGACCAGCTTCACTTTCCCCTGCTGCAAAGGACCTCATGATCTAGAAATATTATTTATCATAGAGAATACATAATCTTCAAAGGGACATCCTTGACAGGCAGTAAAAAGGAAAAAAGATATACATATTTCCACATAATCAGGTAGAACACTATAAACAGTTAAACATTACCATTCCACTCTCAGGATTCACACAAGTCATGTTGACCCTTGTGTGGAAGCGAACAGTTGGAGGTTTCTCTGGATAATCTTTGTCACAGAAAAGCTTCAACTGATAGATGCGGCCTTCATGTACACTCTGATAGAAAAATCAACACAAATCTCAAATAAACTACAACCACCAAAAATAAAAAAAAATAAATAAAAAGGCAAATGAACCATGAAGCACAGGCAATGCACATCCAACGGTTCACCACTAACTAAAACTCCTTTGATCAAGTGGTCAACAATACAAATCCAGCAATCCAAGGCCAAATGAACCCAAGAAAAGGGAAATGAATAAAGTTCGGAAAGTAAATAGCTCGAAACTAAACTGACTGCAGAACAAAACTGGTATGTAATAGCTAATTCTCACACCTGATGGGAATGGGGTTTAGGACTAGTAGTCTTTTTTTTTTTTTTAAATTAGGACTAGTAGTCTAGTAGAGCTTGAAAGAGAGAAAATTGAAGCTCATGGACAAGAGACTAAATTTCTTCCACAAGGAAGTTGAAAGCGCACATGAAACAATCTGGATTTCTCAATTAAATTAAATGACTTTAGAGAAATTATGAACACAATATTCGATCTTGACAGCTTAATTATATTACCCCAGCACTATAACTAAAGGAAAATTTGTTCTAGGTTCTATGCACAAAGCCAATCAGAAAAATTCTGTTCAACTATACTAAAGAAGAATAAAAGCGAGCTGAAATATTAGTCAATTATCCTAAAACAAAGTATCACTAGCAATAATGACGGGCTGCATCATACAAAATATTGATGTTATAAAGATGTACTCTTGTCCAAAAGCAGCAAAATAAACCAAGTAAAACACAACTCACATTGTGAGGGCCAATGATAGTTCCCGTCCAAGAGCGCATGTAAATATCATCACTGTCATCCATCCCATAGCTGACACTCCCATCTCCAATCCCTTTCTCACCACGTTCAAGTTCTTCCAGCAACCTGAAGTTTCTGGGAACTGCATAGCCAAATCAACAGAGTATAATTAGATATAAAAGCTTTTGCAGCTTTAAATGAAACATCAATTGATGTCTAAAAGCAACTTAAACCAGAATACTAGAAGACGAATCAATTGGAAATTGCAGGCTAACAAAAGATTAATATACAAAGTACTAAAATTCGAAAAAAGGACACATGCTCCCATTAAGATTCACTATCAGACTTGCCGGTAAAATTCACTATTGCCACTTTAGGCCTTCTTAGAGAAATGCAGAGTTCCCCGGCTCCTGGCCGCCTAGTAACCTGGTCTAGATATAGAAAGATTCATCTTCTGTTAAAAGAATTGATAAACTCCCCTAAACACTAACATTTCTAAGAGATTGACGAAGTCCAAAACATCGCGTTCATATTAAGCTTCTGTAATTCTATGCTACAGAAAGCTGGTTTCAAATGACCTAAATTCTCAAACCCATGGCTTCTCAAAAAAACAACAACAATCTATATAGTAAAGTCAACAAAGATTGCAAAACTTTAAAACCAATCTCCAATTCCATAAAGTCATCTCTTATAGTCTTATCCAAAACAAAACAACTCTACAAAATTTCAATACCCAAACATGAAGGGAAAAAAATGCCAATGATTGAATCATTCAAAATTGAACCAACCAATAATCTACGAACCCTAAATTGGATCCAAGAAAGCAAAACCGATGATATGATTAGATCCTTTAATATTTGAATCAATCAGAATAACAAAAAACCCACATGACAAATCAATCGATCAAGCATAAAAATAACATTCGAATACATGAAATCTTAAAAAACAAACATGAACCCTAAATGAAACAAGAAATACCCAATACAAAACCAAAAAAAATAATTGAAATTTCAACATGAAAAAAGGAAGGGAAGTAGAATCTACCAACGACGCTAGATCCTGCAGAACCAATCGTCATAATTGGAGAATAAAATCGAAAGGAAAAAAGGGTACTGAGAATTGACGCAAAGTGTGTGAGAAAGAGAGAGAAAATGGTGAAGACTGAAGAGGTGTTTTGTTTGGGGACAAAAGAGAGAGAAAGAGAAGAAATGGGGTGTTATAGGAAAGGCCACAGCCCACGGTCACGACTCACGAGATACGAGTAAAGAATCCCAGTATGTCACCGACCCATTTTCTTGCCCGAAGGCCCCGAATGACCAAATTGGTAAAAAAAAATAGTCGAGGACTCGAACATTTCTAATGACAAGCTAATTGTGCCATTTTGTAGCAAATAATTAACTAACCAATGATCAAGAACGGAGTTTATACTATTACATAAAACATATAGTGAGTGATATCTTGAAAGGATTATGAATAGAGTTGGTGTTGTTAAGAAATGAATGAGATCGAGGCAGATTCACAAACATAACTAATAGGGGAACTATTGCTCCACTATTAGAAAACTCCTCAACATGTTTTTAAAAGTAATGGTGTTCTTTGTAGCTAACAATTTTTAGTCAATGATCTATTAAAAGGATCGCGAACGTTTAAGAAGAAGCTAGTAAAAAATAAGGATTAATTATTGTAGCTATTGCAACTCCACTCTTAGAGTAATATTACAAATAAAGTTGTGATGCTATTTGATCTGGAGCAAGTGATCCCTAAACGCTTTCTATTTTATAAATATTAAAAGTGTGAATTATACATAATGAAATTTTCCAACATGTCAATGGACACACAATAAGACTAAGAAGATTCCTTTTAAATAAAATTATTCTAACTAAAAAGTGAGAATCTTTCCATAGTTAAGTATTCTAAGTTGATGGAACTTAAAATGTTTCCGATCCTTAATTACGGGTTACCACTCTCACACATGTCAAAATGTTAACCATCAATATTTTAATTTATACACAAGTACAAATAATTTATACAATTCAAATTTTAAAAGTGTATACCACATAACTATATTTTTCTTTACGTATAAATCATTTAAAGAGAAATTTATTTATAATTGCAAATGGTGCAATTGTATATGTATATGTACATGTATACAAAGAAATTAAAGTATGTAGTAAATAGCTTAATAACCACTACCATAAATCACTTCAAGTGGAGGTGATCAAATATTTGAGTCGGGTCGGACTTCAATATCAAATCTCATGGCCAAACCCGAAAAAAAAGTGGCAGACTTGTTGGATCAAAGCGTGCTTTTCGAGTTTTTTTTAAAATGCGGGTTTATAATAATTAAAAAAAACGTTTTTTGGCTTGTCCAAACCTGCCTTTTTTTCGGGCCGGGCCGTACATCAACTTTAACTTTAAGAAACACTTCTAATTCACAATAATCTACTCTTGAAAAATTATAGCTTTGTTAAGAAATCAAACAACCAGAATTTTTTGTTGTTTACGGTGGTTAATACTAAAATTAGGAAGCCAAGAAAAAATAATTAATAATTATATTACTAGTGTTATTATTTTGCAAAGTTCTTTTTTTTTTCTAATCTTGAAAATTGTTACTCATCAATCTAAAAAGTATTAAATATTTCTAGCCAGTAATCAGAGAAATAAATTTTTAATAATAATAATAATAATAATAATAATAATAATAATAATAAAAAGAGAAATCTAATGGACCTATGAAGGAGAAAAAAAAAAGGACATTTGTAGTAGTGCTAGAGGGAACTGAGTTATTTTGCAAAGTTTTTTTTTTCACAATGTTTGCCTCTCAATCTTGCATGCACCATTTAGGCCCTGTTCTTTTGAGCTTCTAGGCACAACAAAGTAGGGGTTAGCAGAGCAGATTTCAGCAGAGTAGAGCAGAGCAGAGCTTCCAACAATGCAGAGCAGAGCATAGTAGAGCAAAACAGCTCAAAAGAACAAGGCCTTAATGTTTAATTTGCTCCTATTTGTTTTCTCATTAAACGTGTAGGTTTCCATTGTGGAAATACATGGCTTCACAAAGCTACAACTCATTTAGCTCCACATTGATTAAACAACGAGCCCCATGCCCATCTACTAAAAAAAGTGCAAACAAAAGAGAAAATACAAGTTTCTCAACTTGGAAAAAAATTATATGTTTAATTTGGCATTTTCAATCAATAAGTTAGGTTAATGTTGTAATTTTGTCTAAAACATCTCTGTTTTCAAGCAAAATCAGAAGTATTCAATGGAGAACCGAACAACGTTAATGGAGAAACTAAGAAACTTCAATGGTAAATCAAACATGGCGAAGGTTTTCGATGGAGGCAACCCTGCCCTTCAGAGGTTAATCATACCCTTCTTTTCTCCTATTTTTGTCAGGGTAATAAGGTGATGAAAGTAGTGGTTCACGAGCTACTACAATGGAGGTGGAGGAAAACATGAAGAAGATGGAGGATGAAGAAAATGAAGCAAGCAAGAAGAAAAGGACAAAAAAAAGTACAAAAAAATATTTAAAACTTCATACAATTCCTCTTATTTACAAAAATATCGTTTCTCAAGTTGAAAATTTGAGGCTTCCTCTAAACAAAAACCTGAACCAACCAATAATTGTACAAAGGTTCTTTATTCACATTGCCAAAAGAAAAAAATAATAATGAAGTGTTATGAAATATATAAGAGAGGAAGGTAAGAGTAATATTAGACAAGATGTAGAATTACTACTTGTAAGCTTATGAGGGAGCCTTGGTATCTCAAATAGAGATTCGTTTTTTGTATCTCGAAATAACATTTTTGTAAATCAGAAGAAAAGTATGAATATTTTTTTGGTACTTCTTTTTTTTGTCCTTTTCTTCTTCTTCCTGCTCATCTTCTCCATCCTCCATCTTTTTCATGCTTTCTTCCATCTCCATTGTAGTTGCTTGTGAACCCACTACTTTCACCACCATATTTCGGCGACTTCATCGCCAAACTAAACTAAAACCCTAACATACTTGGGGGAAAAGAAGAGTGCGTCTAGGCGCATAGAGCCCATTTATTTAGCATGCACATAGGAGGGCAATCTGGGATTTTTCATTTGATGTTTCTCTTTTTTAATGGTACAGTGGTACATTTTTGTGTATTATTATGCATGCGTAATATACGATTAAAGTATAAGTTGTCTTTATAGTACTTTTTGTGTACTATTAGAGCATCAACACTCATAAGGATACATATATTTAAACCTGGGCACGGGCCGGGGTGGTCCGCGTGCCGCCCGGCACAACCCGACCCCAGGCCCGACACGACCACCGGATTGCGTGCCACGGACACGATCCTGGTTTTTCAGGCACGGCCCCGCACGAGCACGGTTGTGGCCCGGCGTGCTGGCCCGGCACGTGGCACGCTCACCAGGCACAGCCCGCCAAGCACGAGGCACGGCCCAGCACGGCACGGCCCGCGTGCCTAGCCTTAAAAACGGTAATATTACTGTTTGAAGCAACGACTATTAAAAAAAAACGGCTAGTTTTTTTTGCAAATCACTCCCGAAATTTCCTATAAATACCCACTTTCATCCACTTCCCAAATCACAAAATCACAATCTATTCTTCTTATCTCTTAATCTCTTATATTCTCTAAATCTCTAATAATCCTTAATCTCTTATATTCTCTAATAATTCTCTAATTATTCTCTTAAATTCTCTAATTATTTTCCTAATATCGAAAAAAATTAAAAAGTTCGTAATCGTAATTAGTGGAGCGTTGAAGCACGGTTGTAAGATCTAAACTAATCTTTAATTTATTATTGTTTTATTGTTATTATTAGAATAATCTTGTTTAATAATTATTGTTGTTAATTGTTATTGTTGTTGTTATAATTGTTGTTATTAATTATTATTATTGTTACAATTATTGTTATTATTTATTATTGTTACAATTATTGTTATTATTTATTATTGTTGTTATTGTTATTGTTATTGTTATAATTGTTGTTATTAATTATTATTATTGTTATTTTTATTGTTAAAATTGTTGTTATTAATTATTATTATTGTTAATCAGTTTTTATTAAAAATCTAATTGTTAATTATGGCATCGAACAACCCATCATCTAGGGGGTAAGGCCGACTTGGCCGTAGTAGTAGTTCTAGGGAACCACCTAATACAACGAGCCCCCAAATTCCGAGTCCAATCAATGACCCCGGTTACTTCCCCCCGGGCTACGAGCCATTTAGGCACGATAGTAGTTCCGGTTTTCAACCCTATAATATGTCGGGATTTCCACCACCACCACCACCACTAAACCAATTTTCACCATTAAACCAATTTCAAAATCCACAGCAATTCCCACAATTCGGTCAATTCCCACCTAATTATTTTGGTGATCAACAAAATTATTATTCTGGCCAAAGTAGCCAAGAAAGTACCCAAATTCCCTCCGGTTCTACCCCTTCTACTACTACTAACCAAAACACACATCATGAATGGTTAACCGAAACTGAGATGCTACTTTTGAAAAACCGAAAGAGTGATGTATGACGTTGTTTCCTCCTAAATAAACCCCAAACACATGCAAAATAAAACATGTAATGGTGTATTCTCGGCAATATCCAAATCCGGGACGGGACACTTAAGTAGACACATGAAAGCTTGTGCACAACCAGCTAGTGATCCAACCCAGCCAAAAATTTCCCAGTTCCATCCATACGGCTTTACCTACAACTATGAGAGGGATAGGGATGAACTAGGAAAAATGATAGTACACGCCGAACAACCTTTTCTTTTCTCGGAAAGTGACCCATTTAACACTTACATTAACAAAGCACTACAACCCCAACATAAAAGAATCTCTAGGAAAACCGTTCGTTCCGCCGCCATGAAAACCTTCCTAGAGTACAAATTGCGGTTACAAGCCGAATTGAGGGACCTTAACTGTAGAGTGTCTTTGACAGCCGATGCTTGGGATAGTGGTTATAAATATCACTATTTATGTGTGACTTGCCATTGGGTAGATGATCAATGGTTGTTACAAAAAAGAATAATACATTTCAAAATGCTTGAATACCCACACACCGGCATTAACATTGCTCACTATTTAATGCAAGCAATAGACGAATACAACCTTCAAGATAAAATGATGTCTATGACTTTTGATAATGCAACCTCTATGACATACACAACTAATCTAGTCAAACAAAATTTAACCGATGTAATATTAGACG